AATCAGTTTACGGACTAAAAAAAGCCACTAGGTCATGGAATAAGAAAGCAACAGAGGTTCTGAAAAGCTTAGGGTACAAGCAAACTTGTTCTGAACCATGTATTTATACCAAACAAAAGGGTAATTCTGTAATTAATATAGCACTGTATGTTGACGACTTCTTCATATTTTATAGTGACAGTGCTGAAGTTGAGCATTTAAAAAGAAACTTGCAACAGTGTTTTAAAGTCAAGGATTTGGGACCAGTTAAGAAACGTCTATGAATGGAAGTGAACAGAGATAGGGCAAAGAAAACTATAAAGTTAACCCAAACTCAAAATTTGAACAATGTTCTTAAGAGATTTAACATTCCTAATAAGACTAAACCAGTTAGTCATCCAGTAGAACCAAATAGCAAATTGAAACCGTTGCCTAAATCAAATAAATTGATTGTGAATCTAGATGATGTGCCATCTCAACAAGCTGTAGGTTCAGTGATGTATCTAGCTGTATGCACGCGCCCTGATATATCTTTTGCTATGACTTATTTGAGCCATTTTAACACTTGTTTCATGAGAGCACTGGGTTTTGTTAAAAAGAGTTCTAAAATACCTAAATACTACAAAGATGTAGGTATTGTATATTCTCAGAATAATGATCAATTGGAAGGTTTTTCCAATGCAGACTGGGGTGGAAATTTAGATTGTAGATCCTTTAGTGGATCTGTGTTCAAACTATCAGGAGCAGCTATCAGTTGGAGATGTAAAAAACAAAGGACTGTAGCTTTGTCAACCACAGAAGCAGAATATATGGCGTTATCAGAGACCGCGAACGAAGCCATTTTCTTGAGGAAATTATGGTTTGAAATATGTAACAAGGCAATCACTATTCCTATTTTTTGTGATAATTGTGGTGCTTTAGCCATAGCAAAAAATCCTGTCAATAATGACCGAACAAAACATAGTGACATAAGGGTTCATTTTGTAAGAGAGGGTTGAATCAAATGAATTGTCAGTACATTACATTCCTGGAAAACAATTAGTTGCTGATGGTTGCATGAAAGGTTTAAATGTATGGAAACATAGTGATTTTATTAATTCACTTGGATTGTGCTAAGAATAATGTTTCCAATTGATGTTCTAAATAATAATAATAATTTCTGTTGATATTCTGATTAATGTCAGTATATCAACAAAAATTATTATTATTACTGATTAACGCCATGTTAGGTGGGTCCGTCACCACGGCATGGCGCGTCCTCAGGTTGTGGATGGAGGAGACGCCCTCCAGTTTTGAAGGGAAGCTGTGAATATATTGAATAAGCAGTCACAGACAGCCGACAAGGGGTGGCCCTCCAGCTTGGGGGTTGGGTGTGGGACTAACAACTCCTCACTGTAAAAAATCAGTATGTTACGAAAATGAACACAAAGCCTCGGACCTGGACTGATTCCTTGGATAAGTCAAGGAGCATGAGGTGGGTAGGTCATGTAGCACGAATGGGGGAGACGAATGCGTATAGGATATTGGTGGGAAAGCCAGAAGGAAAGAGACCACAGGGAAGACCAAGGTGTAGGTGGGTGGACAATATTAGAATGGATCTTAGAGAGACAGGATGGGATGGTATGGATTGGATAGATCTGGCTCAGGATAGGGACCAGTGGAGGGCTCTTGTGAACACGGTGATGAACCTTCAGGTTCCATAAAATGCTGGGAAATTCTTGAGTAGCTGCAGAACTGGGGGCTCCTCAAGAAGGGCTCGGCTCCATGAGTAAGTAAGTAATACTGATTAATGAATAAGTATTTTTTAAACTCCCAAAATTGTTTAAGGGGGAGTGTTATGTTCGCAACTCTCTAATGTTAAAATATAATGCTAGAGTTGGCAATGTCGTAGCAAACAATTTTAACAACAGACTGCGCTACATGCGCTGTTACTAGTTTCTCTACTGTTATGTGTTACTACAGTTGTGTGTTTAAAAACAGAATCTCTCTATTGTTATGTGTGTGAATATATATAAAATGCTTTTGTGTATCAAAGGTTAGTCTTAATAAAGCAGGGATAGATTGAACATTGATTCTTACTTATCATTCGATCCACGTGGAAGTAACAAAAATAACAAGCTGTCAGAAATAAACTCGACAATGACAACACACTGGTGGAATGGTCTATCTTGCAGGTCAAAGCGATCACAGAACTGCTGGAAGTCTGAGAGCCATCTACTTTCAGGTGGACAATAAGTTCTTTCAACAGAAAGATGGTATGGCTATGGGAAGGTCTCTATCCCTCAACATAGCAACATAATCACTGTGCATTCTCACAAACTGGCTCAACAGTAGCAGCCATCCAGATTAAGAGGAAAAGCCTCTGGGCTCTGTGTATATCCCATAAGTGGAGGGCATTTCAGAAAAGTTGAAACATATATGGAATTATTACAACATTAGGGACCAACTTCAAAACTAAACAAACCCTTGGGAGTCCTCTAATGAGAACCAGACTGGAAAGGGATCTGCATTTATAGCATTCCTTGTGAATGTGGCAGAAGCTAAACTGGTGCAACAGGCAGAATGCTAGTGGTGAGGCTTCATGAATATAGGCACAATCTCATAGAGAGGTCTTCTAGAAAAATAAAAATTAGGCCAATATGCCTCTGAAGAGGATCATAGGGTAGGCTAAGATGAAGATAGAATTTTTAAAATTGAAAGTAACAACAGCTGTAAGAAATATAAGGAATCAGCCCATATGGAATGTTTAACCAATATGATTGTCCAACTTAGTTTGGATATTTCTGCCATAAGGATTCCCCTCATCAACAATGAAGTTAACAACTCATAGGGTAGGTCAGTAAAATCTGACATTTTTTCGTAGGTATCTACACGATTTTAGTTCCACAGATGACGCTAGTGGTAGGTATATATTTTTACAAAATAAATTTTTGAATCATTCGTATGCATTCATGTCCACCAATTTGGTTTGTTGCATTTGTTTATTTCTTTCTCTATCTTAGTTTAAGATCTGTACAGGCATTATCACATTTTTTTATGGCACAATTTCCTGTTATCTTTTTTATAGTCTGTATCCTGTTGCGTGTCATAACTATGTGGTTTGGTAAAATGTCTGTCAATACAACAAGGAAAATGGTATCACAATTAAAATCAGTATCTAATAGACTGAATTTTATTGTTTACTGCTACATGTTTCGGTCAACATGGGACCATCATCAGGCAGTGTATACCTGTTATCCCCTGTTGACAAATCCTGATCTCAGGAGTATATATAGCTGTAGTTATAGTGACATAGGCTGTTCAGTGACACAAGATACTTCTTTCTAATGGACCTAACAGTGCAGCTGTCTCCCACCCCCTTCACCTGTGGAGAGAAGCAGGTCCAGTTGCATAACTGTTGTGTTCTTTACAGTACCAGCCAATGGATAAAGTCCAAAAAACCCAGTAATTCTGAGTGTTATGCACTATCATCATAACCCTTCAGAATCTATGGGGAGCACTGTTATCCATACCAGAAGCAGGTGTTAACAGCTTAGCTGTGAATGTTATTTAGCACTATATGAAATAGGGATTGGAGAGGGGGGATTTGACTCAACATTAAAATTAGGGACAGGAAGGGATTCCAAGAATTCAAGCTCAGAGAAAGAAAGCCTAATAATCAGGTAAGAATTTTTTTTTGTGGTTTATTTTATAATGCTGTCAGTACCTCAGACTAACGTGGAACAGTTAGTAATTGGTGAATAATGGTCAGAAAGGATTTTGGAAGGAAATGATCATGACTAACTGAAGCACTAGGCACTACCCTAGCATTTCCCTTGTGGGCCTGAAGAAGGCCACAGACAACCTCAGTCACAATAGCCAGTGACCTGGCAGAGATCTGAACCAGGCATATCCTGAATACAGGATTACAATGTTACTACTAAACAAACCTACTCAGTCAGGTAAGTACAATATGTGACACTGTAGTGATATAATGTTGTTATATGCAACAGACTGGACTCTGTAAAAGGCTTTCCTGAATTGAAATACTGTTAGAGAGTACTAAACATTGACTGGTTCACCTTTATAATGTTGTTTGTACAGCCTTTACTATGTGACAACCGCAAGATAGGCAGATATGCCAGGCCCATTTCTAGACAATAGTTAGTTAGTTATTGGAGAGGGTGGGTTTCCCCATGCACCGCGACCAGTTTTGATCTATTGTGCTTCCCTCTATGATATTCTACCAGTCTCTATACCCTACCGATATTGGTGCGTACCATCAGTCCCGACCGAGCCAGCGAGTTCTCTACTGGCTTGGCGGTATCTATAATGCTTCCCCCATCTATCAGAGGCATTATGACTACTGTTGGGCGGGAAACGTCCTTGAATTTGGCTCAGTGACCTCCTTTGGAGATATGAGGTTCTTTCACGTGCCGTAAAGCTACGACACGGGACCCACAGCTTAAAGTCCCTCCCGGAGGACTTGTTCCCTGAATTTTTCCGCCCTTAAAAATTCCACGACCTCCGCCGTGTTTGAACCCACATACCATGAGTCATGAGGTATTTCTAGACAATAGCTGAGTAAACATGTTCTTGCAGCAATGGATTGACACATAACAATATATGTACTGTTGGAAACTGGGTATTTCTACATGGTTCATGCAGAGGAGCTATCTTGAAGACAATTGGGTCAACCAAGTCAGTTCTGTAGGGAAGTATGTGAAGCTGAAGAACCTCCACTATTAAAATCCATCACCAGGATATGTCTAGTGGAAAAACTGCAGGTTGAAGAAGACTTAGCATGTAGTGTTTTGTAAAGTGTGGAAATGAGTGATAGTTGTATAGTTATTTGTAATTATGACCTGTAAGTGGTCAATAAATTGAGTCACTAATCCAAACCCCACCTATAGTCACACTCTAAAATGTGACAATACTGAAGTCTGTAGGATTAAAACTGGTTAACAGTACAATATGTGAATGTGATGTGCCTGATTACAGCATCCAATTTCTTTCATAACAATGACACTTTGTTGACTTACTTGCAGAAAGGTGGCAATACCAACAGCAACACCAGCTATAACGAAATACAAGCTGTACTCATCTGTTCCATCACGCACTTCTTGGTCATCCGGTCTGGCCATCACCTACAACATATAATGACATGTAAGAAGATTCAAAATAGCACAATAAGTTCCATTATTTGGAAAAATTTGGTTAGGTAAAGGAAGTACAACAAATGAAGACAGACCAGCAGTCCCTGAATACATGGCCATAGTGTGAAGATGACATCTGATCTCCATCCGATGCCAAGGTATATAGATTTTATGCTATTAAGAAACAACTGTCATGTCTTACTGGCACCACTTGTATGAAGTAAAACTTTCACTTCATCCACACAGTACTCTAATGTTTCACTCCCTTCTATAAAAGGATAAAGAAAAGGTAAAGTTGTCATTGTGCTTACTTAAGAAAGCACCACACCATGAAGAGATATTAGGGAGTGGAGGTATAGCTCCACCATTCTTGACCTTAGCATTAGATGGAAGTGAGTGGTCAGGTTCACACCCCTGTCACTTTACCTCTCGGGAAAGGGCTCTTGATACTTGTCAGATAAGAGGCTGGGGGGGGGCAGAGCTGGTCTGGATGCTGTGGAGTACAGAAAGATCTCTTCTCCCTGCAAGGAATTGAACCTCAGCTGCCCGGCCCGTAGCCCATCGCTATACTGACTGAGCTATCAGTATTTCATAATTTAGTAGTTTGCTTTAAGAGTAACACATTCCAATTTTTTGACTGTCATTGCCCTGCTGGCTATAACACGATCCCTTGTTGCAACTGCTTCTCATTCAGTCATTCATGGATGCTTCAGATGACTGCTAAACATCTTTGGCCTTGTTTATTACCATGTGCACAAAGAGAATGGCTAATGCTAGTTTTATAAAATAACAACATGAATAGGTGTGTTGATGCAAATAATGACAAACTGTTCTGAACATGTTAGATTTAGATCTCTCAGCAGTCACTATGAAGGGCACTATGCTCTGAAACATGAGAAGGGTAGCATGGTAAAAGTTTACTGACATTTTAAAGGATCATACTACCTTCATCTTTGTGACTGAAGAGTAAGAGCAGCAAGCAAGAGGGGGGGGGGGTTGAAAGAATAAGAAGGCCTCCCAGTGCAGACATGTATGTTACAAGCCCTGGCCATTTTATGTAAAAAGCCCCTGTTCCCTGGGAATTTTGAATACGTAATATGCATGGCATTTGGGGTATTTTTAGGTACATGATTGAACAACAGGATAAAGAATTTCTACATTCTTCAGCTACTCATTAAAAATATTCAAAATAATTAGCAGAACAAAAACAATAAAAAATCTTGCATCACTGAGTGTTAACATGATACATGAGTACTATAAATAATATAAAATTTTTACAAAGTAGAAGACCTATGAATACATAATTTTTCCTTGAAGGCTTTCTTTTTTCTTCAGTCAGATTTATATAGTTTCTTTTCAAAATTTCAGTCATACATTCAGGTGCTGTGTGACTGTTATCTGCAAGCAATTCATTATCCTAAATTAGAATTAATATAATGATTCAGAGTCCGTGGGTGTTCAAAATAGATTTTTCCAAATTTCACCCAAAATGCAGGAAATATGAAAGGGAAAAATGTAAATTATAAGTGGGTTCTACAGGTTATCTACATGTATCCGGTTTATGTCATTGGAAAGGAAAGCTCAAGATTTTTTTTATGCCCAGCTAATGCACATGCACCAGCTGGTGACCTTCAGCGAGCTCAGTAATGATGCTGATGCCACAGAAACAGGATCAATGCATGTTGTGGCTAGCAGAGTTGCAATCTCTTATGGCTGTCCAGTGTCATTTTAGAATGCAATATGTATGGATGTTAACCTCCTACACGGAAAAGCATTTGGTTCCGGGACAACAAACTGAGGACTACGGGTAGTCTGATGAGTGTAAAATCTCCTAGAAAAACACGAACCTCTGAAGAAAATGTCGACTGCATTAGAGAGGCATTCCAGTGAAGTCTGCGCAAATCAATCCGTGCTGCTAGCTTGCAGTTACAAATTCCACGTTCAACAGCGCATTATGTGCTACACAAAAGGCTCTGCCTAAAATCGTACAAGGTTCAAATGATTCATGCACTAAGACCGAGTGACCAAGTAGCATGTCCAAACTTTGCTGTGGACATGCTAGAAAGAATTGATGCGTCACCCAAATGTGCTTCACGGACAAGGTGACGTTCCATGTCAATGGAGTTGTTAACAGGTAAAACTGCAGGGCTTGGGGCAGTCAAAATCCACGTCACATGTGGGTTGAAGAGAGACAGCCCCAAAGTGAATGCGTGGGCGAGCTTAATGAACAAGTTGATTGGACAGTTTTTCTTTTTGGAAAAGACTGTGACCAGATGTTTGTCCTTGGACATGCTGGAGCTGCATGTTCTGTCCCAATTACTACCTAAAACTAACCTCCAATAAGATGGGGCATGCCACATTTCTGCCACCATATTGGGAATCACCTGGACATAGAGATAGCTGGGTGATGGATCGGCAGAAGTGGACCAATCACTTGGCCTCCTAGGTCGCCAGATTTAACCACACGGGATTCTTTTTTCTGGGGTTATGTGAAGAACATTGTCTACCAGAATAAGATCAACTACTTCCAACACTTGAGAGCCCACATAAGGGACGCTGTGGCTACAGTAACACCAAACATGCTTCAAGCACAAGGCTACACAGGCCATGACCCACTAACATAGCAACCCCCCCAGTTTAAGGGTTAGTGCCCTCCCTTTAACCTTGCTTTTCTCTCCCCCGACACAATATCATATACAAAACCCTGCTTCTGTCCCAGCTCTCACACAGCTGTGTTTATTTTGAACACAAGTCTGCTTGTACCGGTTCTCATTTTCTCTTCGCTTGCAGATTTTCTTACTTTTCCGTCTACCCTGAAGATGGAGGAGATACGTTTGTCCGGAACGTTGCTTAACACCACATCTACATGGTGCCACATCCCAGAAGACTGCTTTCTTCATGCTTCTAGCAATTTGGCATGAGGTCGAATATCATCTGGATATTTCTCATGCCACCAAGGGAGTCCACTGTGACAGTTTCCCTTTGTAATGGTGTAAACCAGGCATGTCCAACTTCAAACAGGTTGTGTTCGACTTTTTAGTGTCAAAACTGCCAGTGATCTACCACCCCCTCCTATCATCATACCTCACTTGAAGCAAAAATATTGGTAAAAATAACATGATACATGATGTTTGTTGTAAAAGCAACTAGTAACTGGGCTGTGTCTCTGATGTCTGTAGATTCATCCAGTTGAAGGGAGAAAGCAACACATCTGGAAACATCTTTCAACAACTGTTCAGTTATGTTTCCACACATCATTTCTATTCGCCGCACAATGGTGTTTCTTGATAACTGAAGATCTTGAATAGTAGCTATGATCTCTTTCTTATTTTTAAATGTTTCAAAAAGATTATCAGCTCTTCAAGAAAACACTCTTTTACAAATTCCCCTTCAGTGAGCTGTTTGCATTTTTTAACGCTCAGATTGCTGACCTTGAAGGATGATTTGGTTGCATTGTTAGAAAGTGACCTTGGTTTTGTCATCAACTGTTGTTGAGCAGCTAATTTCGATATAAGTCCTCTGAGCTTAAGTTTACGAATTTCACTTCTGGGTGGACAATCAGCACCATACTTATTGCTATGGAGAGCATTATAATGACGTTCCAGATCACCCTATTTTGGCAAGGATACTGAGGCGTTGCATTTTCCACTATATTGAGGTAAGTGTTTTGTCTGGCACATGCACACAGATGCTTTTGAAATTAATAAAATAATGTGGGCAGAGCACTTACTGTACCTTTGATACACTGAGACCACCCCCAAACTCTATATTTGTTTAATGTGCAGCAAAGCGACAAATCTCCACTAACAGCTAATATAATAATACGTCTCACTTGTTAGTTCAACGTACGGGGATTCACAGTTGACAGGAGGGAGAGAACGAAGTGAATCACACATTCTGTTGATCACTCTTGCATCAGAACACACGCAGCTGATGACAAGTGATGAAATAAGAGTACATGTGATAAGGATAGAGTAGGGACTTCTCCACACAGTTCATGTAGCTACATAAGAACAGAAAAATAGGAATGACTAATACATATTTTCCCTCCAAAATCTGAATATAATCATATTATATTACAAGCGAATTTACATGCTTTTCACGTATAATTTCCTTACAGACCTGTGAGATCGACCAAAAATCGTCCTGCGATCGACGTGTTGGACATGCCTGGTGTAAACCATAGATGTGTATAATAAATGTTTTCTGAGATATAATTATTTAATTTCTGATAACTTTCACTGAGACACTCTGTATGTGGAAAGCTTCTAGGCATCAGCATTGCACAGATCTAGGGATGCTCAAAATACTGCTGCAAGAACTAAATAAAATTACAATCCAAAGAGCATCTGAAATAAATAACTTTATCTCATTCCTCACACTGCAACACAGAGTATTCAGAGACATCCCTGACAGTTGCAGTTTATTGCCCTGCACACACAGCAAAGATGCTGTCTGTCACAAAAGCCTGAAATGCTTACAACCTTCATCAATGGCCAATGTTTGGAATAAGTTTAGCACTGCAGTCAATGGAATTTGCTGTACTGGGATGTCAATATGCTTACACCCTAATCCAAATCACTTTGCCTTTTTACACATCTTCCTGATGCTACTAATCAATGGCCTGTCACCATCCTGTGCATTAATTTTCAGCCATGGGTGGCACACTTTTGCAAACAAATCATCCGTTTCTCATAATCACTCTGTAACTGCCTCAATAACTGAAATTTGACTTCATTTTCTGGAGCCAAGATTAATTCTCTCTGCTTCTAACTCACAGTCAAACTTAATCAAATGTCTATAATACTGAGACTTTCAAGAGTTCTGGATCACTTACATTTCACACTTGATGGTACATATTTGTTAGATCTCAGTGTACTGATTCATAGCAAAACATGAATGCAAAGCAATAATTCGCATTTGTGTTTCTCATTTCAGTGACTATGACTATGTGGCATTGTGTAATTCAGTAGAAGTTAACGTACGTTTGGAAGGCTGGAACTGGCCAAACATAACAGGGTACAACTGATACAGGTGCCAGGGCATGAGGGTATTGCTGGAAATGAAATAGCAGACCAGCTGGCCAAGATTGGAGCTGAACATCCATTCATAGGACTGAACTAGTCTGTTGCATCTCTATATGAGTTGCCAGAAAGGCAATCAGGGACTGGACAAATATGAATCACAAGAAATACTGGGGATCCTCAACTGGGCTCAGGCAAGCAAAGGGACTCATATGAGGACCCTCTATTAAAAGAGCGAAGGAACTGTTGAAGTTAAACAGGAACCAACTATGATGGGCGGTAGGACTACTTACAGGACACTGTCACCTCAAAGGACACCTCTTCAAAGTGGGACTAAGTAATAGTCAAACTTGTGACGGGTGTCAAGAAGAAAACAAAGCAGCCACACATATCATGTGTGAATGTGAGGCCTTAGCTTATTTAAGATTGCGCCATTTCGGTCAATATTTTATGGAACCAAGTGACTATTTTGACGTCCTATGCTTCATTCAAAGCCCATGATTGTTGAGGGGATAATCAGAAGGGGAGGCACAATAGATCACTGTGGTCACGGTGCAATGGCCAAGAAGGCCCACCCCTTGTACATTCAATCATTCATGTTTGGAAGGCCGTTGAAGAGTAAGCCAAGTGAGTGAGCAAATAGCAAGAAACAGGCACCATGCAGAGAGGTAACATGATACATATTAGCTTTGTGACTAATTTGTAGTCTGTTATATTACTACATTATCTCACTATCCTGTAGCCATATAGAGAACAGTTTTTCTGAATATCAGAAAACCCATTTAATTCCATTCCTCCTACGTGCCTTCACAATGTGGTGGTTGGTCCCTTGGGACAATTTTACACTTGCAAAATTTACTTAATCCTTTCAAGTCATCAAGCACACTGGTTATTCCATTGGTATTTTCTTTCCACCAGTCCTATGGCATACAAAGTGCACCATGATTCTTCTTGAGGTTGTTTTGGCCTGTAATGATGAAATCAATACAGCTAGGGTGGCATGACTTGGAGTCAGTGTCTGTGTGTAGCCTACAGAGAATGGGAGCTGTTCATACTCTCACGTGATAGTAACTAGGCACAATGTTCAGACTGATATTAGATTTACTGGATACTGAATTGTCTTAATTACATAGGTAAGTCAATAAGTAAGTTACAAATGGATATAGAACTGAAACAAATAAGAGTACTGATTTGAAAAATGCTCTTATTTCTCAACCTAATCTCACTGTACATTGAGGCGCTTGTCCCATCATTTCACAAGCCCCTGAAAACCAGCAGCATAAAATTCTTTGGGCTGCTGTCGGAACCAGGCGGTGACTTCCCTTTCTACAGCTTCATCATCGGGAAAATGTTCAGCCGAAAGATGACGTTTAAGAGGGCCGAACAAATGGAAGTCGCTTGGAGCAAGGTTGGGGCCATACGGAGGATGCTCAAGGACTTCGCACTGGAAATTTAGAAGGGTCTCATTTGTCTTGAAGGAAGTATGGGGATGCACGTCATGCAAGAGCAACACGCCTGATTCTGACAGCAGCCCAAAGAATTTTATGCTGCTGGTTTTCAGGGGCTTGTGAAATGATGGGACAAGCGCCTCAATGTACAGTGAGATTAGGTTGAGAAATAAGAGCATTTTTCAAATCAGTGTTCTTATTTGTTTAACACACTGCGGACTGGTTGTTTAAATATTTAAATCACCCTGGGGACCGGAGTTTTCAAGCCTAGCACCCTAACTTGTACACTGTTCACTTTATAAATTAATATAAAATCTCCTAATTAATTTTATGAACTAAAATTTTTTAGAACACTTACCAGAGCTCGTAGAAGTGCTTGCACGTGTGATATCTCTGGAAACATTCCCCTTTGTGAAGAAAGCTCTCACTTTCACTGGACACAATATTTTGGGGGGCCCTGTGGCCCCTGTCACTGTCACTTTCACTGAGGCTGACCTCGCTATCAGAAGACGAAGCAGTTGGCAAATCTGATAGCTCATCGGAGAACAGATCTAATATTTCTTGTTCTCCGAGAGAACGCTTCGCCTGCAACTGCTTTCGTCTCTGATCCATGTTGCACTGCTAACTTCCTGGTTCATATGTGGAAGCTTGGACTCAACAAAGGCTTTTTTCTTTAGGGTGTGACAGGAAATGAGCGTGATCATGTTGCAGGCTACGCTAGCAAACATTCCTGAGGTCAACTACCTAGCAGTCATGATGCAACGTGTCCACACAGTGAGATAGAGTCGATTGCACCATAACGCATCAGAAAAGGGCCAATTGGCCCGCCCGGTCCGCAACGCTATAGAAACATAGAGGGCCAATTGGCTCCGGTCCTGAATGTGTTAAGTTCTATATCCATTTGTAACTTACTTATTGACTTACCCTCACACAAATACTAACAAAATACACACATAATGCTTGCTTCGTGGCTCTGTCATCACATACATGTTACTAAACTCTGAGTTCTAATAATGGGGACTATCCTGCTGGCTAGCAGGCTCTCTGTATATCACTTTGTTGCAGACCTGTGGGAGAACACAGATACCAACAGTTACTCAGCTGCTGTGTGCATATGTAACTGTCAGTGATTGATGTTTGATGTTACCTAATAATGGATACTTCTGTGAAATCTCTGTCACTCCAAGATTCTGATCTTTTTGCATGATATCACAGTATTCTTGTTCAGAGCCTGATTAAAGTATTTCATGTTACATGGAATGAAAGAGTAAGTAATGAATCTCAAGTAACACTGACAGTAACTGGTAACTGGAAATTTAATGTGAATACAACTACAAGATGTATTTTCATTTTAATTCCTTACCCCTAAAATATCTCCAAAAAGAACTCCAAAAATTGGCATAGCAAAGCCCATGACAATGGATCCAAGGCTTCCTATGAGGATGAATGGCCACTCAGGCATGTTCTTCTTCAGAATCCTCATCATGGAGACTGGTGGGGGTTGATGTTCTTCAATATCTTCAATCACTGTTGGTCTCTCATCTTCATGAATGCTGAAGTCAGATCCAGTAGATGTTCTTGTCATCCGGCCAAGTCTTTGCACCTTGCCTGTGCAGTACCATCAGAAATCACATATAAAAGCGTGTACAGTCATACAAATATGTATACCATAAAAAATATAGCCAGCACTTAAAATGTATCTTTTTAAATCCCAACATCTTCAATTACCAAATCAATGTAGTGATGACAAACACCTACAGGATGAAAGCTTGTAGGTTGTACTACTGGTATGTCACATAAACTGTTGAAGCTATGTAATGTCAAATAAGACAAGATAGGAATACTGCAAATGACGAGTTGGCAAGGATACTGAAGGAAGTGGAAGTGACCTGCTTTAAGGACATATTTGGCATCTGCCCAATAAATTGAGGAAAGACCAAACAGAAAATTTAATCAGGATATTTCTTCTCATTATTATTTTACTTTCTGATTCTCTCCTGATACATATGTATGTAAAGAACAACACGAGCAGCAGCAAGGACACTAAAGGAAATTTCAGGGAATGAGGAGAATACCTGAAGAAAGACCAACATATAGTGTGCAATACCAGGAGGTTATTAACTTATGAGGCAGAATGTTGGCAGTAAACAGCAGGGGTAAAGTTCAGTTTGAATCAGGCATGATATTCATTCATTCATCTGTAATCTGTCAAGACGACAGGTCCACAGTCTCTTACAAAACAGTTCCTCCACTTGATGAAATAACAAAATAAAGAAAGAAATGAAACAAGTAAAAGAAGACATTGTGAAGTGGAGGGAAAATAAATTTTCATTGTGGTATGGATATACAGAAAAAATGGGACAACATAAATGGTAAAAAGGATTGGTTCTCCAGATATCAAATGGGAGTACTGAAGGAGGAAATATAAAACATGGTAAGTATTTACAAAGAATTACATAAAGGGGTGGCAAGCAAAATTAGAAGAAAGGAGACTGAATGACTGACAATAGGAGTATAAAAACATGGAAGCTATGAAAATGGAAAAACCCCATAAAGAAGAAAAAGAAATGGGTGACTTGGGGGGGGGGGGGGACAGCCACCAAAATTTAAATACAATATTAATTCTCAAGAAACTCTACAATGCTTTCTACACCTCTTATTACACAATGCTTCATATGACTGACCTTCAGACTTATCTTCATTCTTGTTCTCTATTTCATCAATTGCATTTAGTTGCTGTGCATTGACCAGTGCATGGTAGTGTCCTCTCAGACCTAACAGGTCCATGTGTGTTCCTTGCTCTACAACCTTTCCATTCGAAATGACGACAATCTTGTCTGCTGTCCTAATTGTTGACAGGCGGTGAGCAACAATGACAGTTGTCCGACCTTTGCTTACCTGTGTGGTCACAGATACCAAGAGAAATAATAATTTCTATAATAAATGAATATGAACAAGCATGCTGTACAAGCACTCCTCTCATAGAAGGCTGAAGAGAGATATGTCCATAAGGCTGACATTGGATGTAGGAAATTTACCTGAATTGAGGTACACCTGCTTTTAATGACATTTATTTAAGACTAACAGCCTGAGAGACAATTGTACTAAAATTATAAGACTAAGAGCTACCTCTATCCTGAATCAATAATTTATTAAATTAAAATGTAGCTTTATTGTCCACATTAAAATCTCCCATTACTACGGTGCTGGGGACCAGATTTAAACTTGGTGGTAAGGGGACTTACACTGTAAAAGCACAACATTAAGTGCGTTAGGGCCTTATGAACTAGCGCACATGCCAACAAAGTTGTATGATGTGTAGACAGTCTAGGTCAGCATTGCCTGGGACAGAATTTAGGCTTGTGTTGGGCCTGCATGCAACTTGCAGAATACGAAGCTGGAGAGCCAGTAACTACATTACAATGCTTTATTTTTAAATCTGTGGTCTACACACTGCTGCTAGGGATAGTAAACAAAAAGTCAAAATTATGGAATTGCTACTCTTTTTTCCTTCATCTGGCTTGATCAATGTTAAAAATTTCTTTCACAGTAAGACCACTACTTATATTAAAAGGGGTAACAATCTCTTACCTTGTCCAAAGCCTGTTGGACTTTTGACTCACTTGTTGCATCAAGGGCTGATGTAGCTTCATCAAGAAGCAAAATAACTGGTTTTCGTACCAAAGCACGAGCAATGGCAATTCTCTGTTTCTGTCCACCAGACAACTGTGCACCTCTTTCTCCAACAAGAGTGTTGTAGCCCTGTAAAAATAACAAGAAGTTCTGGTAAGAATTGCCTACTTTCATTTGATACAACATGGACCACATAGAAAATGATGCCTCCAACAAATCTTCATTGCAGGGGGAACATGTTTACTGAGCCACTGCCTAGCAACAATAAGGGGATACACAGACACATAGATTTTCCTTTGATACAACATGGAATATATAAAAATGTCTGCAACAATTCTTCTACTGTTGCATATATTTACTGTCACAGGAACACATCTCTTAAGCAATTTTCTAGCAATGATAGGGGGGGATACACATACAGACACACAGATTGATGAGAGGGATTTATGATGCACACAACTGAGATGTGATCAGGTGCCATGATATACATACCAAGTTCATACAGATTGGTTCAAGCATTCAAAGGGGGGGGGGGG